CCCTGCAGCCCTGCCACAGTCTCATCAGAGGCGGCTTTCCAAGTTCTCAGTTATCAAGGCTCAGCCCAGCTCGGCCAAGGCCTCGAGAGTAGAAATGAACCAGCTCGTCTCAGAGGCCAGCCAGGCACAGGTGCCGCATCTGGGCTTGCGCTGTTAGGTCGCCCGGCCCCGCTCTCCCAGGCCACCCACGCGGCCTTCAGGGCTGGGTCAGGCCATACGGGGATGGGTCAGGGCAAGTCTCCGTGGTCCCCCAGTGGTCCATCCGCCGTACACAGTGGGTTGGAGACCGCTGTCCCTTGTAAGGCTTTCTCTCACTGGCAGGACTGGACAGGCATCCGCGACTCCTGGCCACAGTTAGGGTGTCCAGCTCCTTTGCACGTCCCAGAGCCCTGCATCAGGCCTCACTTGGTGCCAGCACCTCTCCTTCCTCTCTCCATCTTCTGATTCCGGGAAAAGCCTGGCCGGAGTGTGACGTGGGAAGACTCTGGGCTCTGCCGTCGGGTCCACTCATCGCTCTCTCCTCTCTTGGGCCACGGCAGAACGGGTTCTCAGCTCAGTCAAGCATCAGCCCGAGGGCCGCAGAAGAGCAACCAGGCCAGGTGCAGCTGGGAACCGTCTTTCTTAATCTTCCCCACCGTTACTTGGGATCCGACCTACACATTCCCGGAGGCTCAATTCCACAGCACAACTCCTGGTCTTTCAGTCTTACGTGCTAGTAACTGATGACTTATTAATCTCGAATCTTTTGGCACCTCTTCTATTGAGTCAGAATGCTTTCTATAGTTTATATTAGAAAGACGCTTAATATACTAAAGCAAACCCATTTTGTCCCTTTTCTCTATTGAAACATGCCAACCAAAAAGGCCGGCGCGAGGGCCCCCACCAGCATTGGGCACCTGGCGGCTCTGTCCGCGGCTGGGAGCCACTCCTAGATCCGGGCTGGGCCCTGACACCAGCTACCAATTTTAGAATACTGTTTCTTGGTCTCTTCATTAAAGCTGGGTGTAGTGGTAATTGCTTTGTGGGTTAGTAAACAAATTGTAGATGGTTTTCCAACATTCAGGACGCTTGTTATTGCACAGGTATCTTGAGCGCAGGGTGGCTCGCTGACTTTGTCTCTCATTCCCGTCTGAGGATTCCGAGTCCTCTGTCTGTCCCTGGGGTGGAGCGAGCTCCTCTGGCCTCTTCCCTGGTGGCCCAAGTTGACCGGTCTGAGCCAGTCCTTTTCTGAGGTCGTGCTTTCCCTCTCATCCTCACTTCTCTTCAGCCTCTCACATACTTCCTTTCCTTTTCCTTCCTCTGTTATTCATGCAACAAGCGTTGAGCTGTGCCAAGCAGTGTGCTAAAATCTAACCTGAGGACAAGATGTGCCCTGTCGTCAGAGAAGCCCATGATCGCTTGTTTTATGTAAAGTCATCTTTTCCTGGGCCTTGCAAGTTGGTACCTGGCATTCACATGCAGGTACTCTCTGCAGAATTTAGGTTTCTGAGGTACTGTCTACTGTGCTTGTTGCCTCCATTCACTCATTCATTTATTCAGCAAATGCTTAGGACAAGCCAGGCATTGTGCTGAGCAGTGGAACTGTAGTCGTGGATAAGACAGGCACCTCTGCTCCATGCACGTGCAGACATTTCTGGACAGTGAGAA